TTTAATTAATTAAAGGGCTTTAAGACTGTTAAGACTATGAATATCTCAAAAAACGGTGCAAGTGATTGAAGAACATGTGAAATTTAATTCTAAGCAGGAAATGTGATCAGTCGCACTGAAACAAATGTTGTGTAAGGCAATTTGCTGTCTGTATTTGATTTTGACTTGAACAGTAACGTAACTATTGCTGTGATTATATTTTGTATTGTTCAAGATGTTTGTTTAAAGTGCTCAAATTTGAATAAATATATTTTGGTTAAAAAAAATCAAAAGCTTGATTTATGTTGATTTATTTATGTTGATTTATGAGCAAAACTCTAAAAAGGAAAACAAATTTAATCTCTTTTGCGTGTCCTTAGGAGAAAACAAGCGGTATTAAAAGGTGCTCTATATACTTTCTTTTTCTCCTAAAAAGGATTAAAGATGAATTAAAAATTACTTTCAGGAGTTTTTATGTAAATATGAGGTCATAACTTCTTTAAAAATATTTTCATATGTTTTGTATCCTAAATGTTTGAATTCTGTACCTAACTGCACCACATCGTTGAATGTCCTGACGGTACCTCTAAATTAAATGTACTATCATTGTTATTTACTATCTCCTTTAATACACAGTAAATACTGTGGTCGCCATGGAAACATTTGTTGAGTCATTGCAGGCGGCAGTGGGTTAGAATTTCAGTGGCATCAGGAATGGCATCTGGTGTAAAAACTTTTAAAAGTCTGTGAATATGAGAGCAGCAGAAAGCACACACACACACACACACACACACACACACACACACACACACACACACACACACAAACAGCTGTTTTTTCATGACATATGGGGACATTTTCATTTTATATGGCCTAACCCAGACCTTTACCCTAACCCTAACTATTTCCAACATAAACCTAATATTAACCCACAGGACAGAACTTTACCATATGGGGACCAGTTGAATATCCCCATACAGTATGTACCAGTAGGTCCCTACATGTAGGATATTTTACAAAATACTGCACCCACATTGTAGGTAAAACACATCCACACACACTCACATACATTTTTATTATATATAGCAGACAGACTGTGTCTGATGTCATTCAGCAACTTCAAAATCTTCATGCAACATCGTTTTGGCTCATCAGCAGCCTCTGTTGGACCTTTTTACCTTTTGGGAAAAACCAAAAGAAACCATACAGAGCATCCAAACGCTCATTATGGACCTGAGCTGAGGTAGCCTCATGCTGTAGACTTCATTATCCTTAAAGGGAATAATAAATCCTTTATAAGGCAGCTCATCTGAGAGCATAAACCACATGTTAGTTTTAAACTGAAGCTCAGCACTGATTAGAGCTGAACTGCAGCACAAAATACACACAAGTACACCTACAGCTTTATCCTATTCTGTTGGAGCCAAATGCTTAATTTATGATTGAATATTTATTTCAAGTTTACTATTTTTGTCTGGTTTTGGTATGATATATATGAACATGAAATATTTTGGTTTGAAGTATGAGTCCACTGACTTAATTATGAAATTATCAATTTGTTTAGTTGTGTTTTGCTGCCGTGCATATGGACAGGTGACTGCAGCACCTGGATTATATTGGAGTCTGCTATTAGGGCCGGGTGAGCTATTTGATTCAGTCAGCGCAGCCATACAGTTTTTGACCGCTTTTGATTATTGTTGTTTTTTTTGAGTGGCAAAAAGGAACGAAATGAGCCGATATGATCTGCCTGTCACCTCATATTGCGGTAAGAAAATCTACGTTTGTTTTGATTTTGGAAAATAAAGCATCTTGATCGAGAGGAAAGAAAGTTTGCTGATTGCATGGTCACATTAAACAACATCTGACAGATCTGAAGTGAGTCTAACTTGGATGCTTCTGAACCAAGAGCCAAACGCATCTTTATTGGAAAGATTGCGCTATTATATCCCTTTTTTTTGTAGAACATTTTAGGAAAATAATTAAAAAAATAAAAAAATATATATGTTTCAACTTAAAAATAGCTAAATTAGCCTATTCATGGTTTATGGAAGGGAGTCTTAGAAAGTGAAATAAGGTTCAGTAAATGAAATTGCAGGAATTTTCATGGTAGCTGTAGCTTTAACTCAAAGCTTCAACTTAAAGCAAACGTTTCAGGTCCTTTTAATCTTTCGGTTTGATTATTAACAAATGGATGTTTATTATGGGGAGTATGCACCAATTTAGAGTTACATATTTTGGTAAAGTGTGGTTAAAAAGTATTCCTATTGCACTCACCTTAGAAACAGGTAATCACAGGAAGCGTCCCATTCAGAATCATCAAACATCAGCACCCGGAAGTCACAAGAGATGCACCTCAGCTGGTCACATGACCTACAGACACATTCACATCGCCACCAGTCAGCTGTTTATCACATTTCAATTATGATGAAATGCAAAATAAAAGTGAAAATTCTACATTATCAGCAAGAGCTGTGATAATGAGTAGAAAACCAGAAACAACCGACGCTGTTAGAATGAAATTCTGTTTTCACACCTTTTGGATGTGGCTGTTCCAACACCGTTTGTGACTGAGCTCCCGCCGATGAAAACAGGACAGCACCTGGAAGTAGAACAGGCAACCCAGTGCCACGCAAATACAGTGAGGAAAGTAAAAGTCACCATGGCTACAAGAACAAAGTGCTTATTGGAGGAAAATTAAACATAAGATTCAAATCTGCAGCCCAAACAGAACATTCATAGAGACAACTATGGAGGATATTTGTTCTGGTTAAAGCTGAACAGAATCCATCGAGAAAATTAAAAAGGGTAAAAAAAAAAAAAATTTAAGTTTTTGTTCAAACTTAAGATCTTTTCACAGTATCTGTTCAAAGTAGGGGAAGGACAGGCA